AGGATCGAGTCTCAATCTCGAGACCTGCATATTTAGACTCAGCTCGGCGAGCCATCCAAAACGAGTATACTTGGGGAACTTTGTACCTTTCGAGCCCTCGAGTTCGAGTCTCGATCTCGACACTAGCTAGAGACCTTCACAGACCAGAATCTCGAGTACACCTTATCGAAAAGTTTATATCTTGTTTAAGTTCCATTTATGGGGCTTATGCTCTGGGCTGAACTCATCTAACCCCATGGCCGAATAAACTTTTGAAACGTATCTTAAGTCAAATTTAGGGGTATGTTAACATTATTTAGTATAATTAAAAATATTTAAGAGGATCCTCTTTTTTTATTTTACAATTTTCAGGGTAAAATTAATAATGTGTTGTAATATTAAATTAATAAATATTTTTTTAATTGGAATTATTATTTTAATTTTATTAATTAATAATTCAACATTATCAGCTTTAATGAAAGCTCCCTCAGCTATTTCCTACACCCATTCCCCAATTAATTTAAAAAATAAATTGGCAAATAATCAACCAAAATTATTAACTATACTAAGTTAATACTTTTTGTTTACAAATTTTCATTCTTAAAAAGTGAATTTTTATTAAAGCGAAAATTTTTTAATGTTAACTTAGAGAAAAATAAACAAAAGACTTTAAAAATAAAAGAGAAAAATAAAGAGAATAAAATTCTCTAACACAGCCGCGTAAATGTTCTCTTAGCACTTTTTCACAAAGAAAGTTGTTTTTCTCTAATTTTTGCTTTAAATTTAACTGTAAACAATAAACAACCAGCCGTCCGCCATTTAATCGCAGCATTACCGGCCGTGTGCCATATAATCGCACACACTTATTGTTGTAAATAAAACGCAGCCATTATATCGCAACTATGAAACTTTAATACAGCACCTTTTAAGTTAGCACAATTTCCAGACCCAAATACAGTGGATTTAAGGGGAGAAAAAAGATAAATAGCTGGCGACTTGAGTAGTAAGCGGCGGTTGTTAAACAGTTATAGTTATTTTTTAATAATTCATTTTTTACAAACTATTTATCTTTATTAAACCATGTTAAATAGTTTTATCAGTAAACACCGAAAGTTTGACCTCTCCGCATTTTTATGGTTTTGTGATAATTTAAATTTGTTAGGAATTAGAACAAAAGTTAAGTTCTTGAACAAAAACGGACCGGTTTTGTGTTTTTTCTATTTTCAAAAAAACTATATTTTAAGAAATACAAATTTTTTGAAAAGAAAAAAACAAAAATTTTACAAACTAACAGATTTTGGATTTACAGATAGCTTTTGAATCTCCTTAATCTCAAGAAAATGATTAATTAAATTTTTATGAACGCGCAGAAATTTTCGTTTTATTGTCTGCTTTTGTTCTGTTTAGGTTCGTTTTTTCTGATGTTTGTTTGTTTTAATTTGTTTTTACCTTTTAATTTTGTTCTGATTTTAATTGTTTACCATATTTCTACCGTATTTAGTTTAGAATAATGTTATTGCCAATTCTATTAAAGATTCGATTTTGTTTAAAAAAGGTATCTACAGAAATCATCAGATATTAAGGCATTCACATAAATCTGTTTTTGCGAAAAACAAAATTAGGAGGGGATTTTGAGGGGAAAAAGGGAGAAGTGAGAGCAAGTAAAAGGAAAAACTCAAAATGGAAACAAGATAAAAGAGGATTAGCAAAAACAACAGGGGATTTCTTGGCAAAATAGAGATAGCAAGAGATTTGTATATAATCAGATAGAACAAGGGTGTTGTAGGTTAATAGGGAACACAAGAGTTCCGAAGGAATAAACAGAACGGCATTAATATAGGGTGTAACGGAGAGATTTCTATGTATAAACAGAAAGATCAAGGAATTCGTGGATAATAAGGGCTAACAACGTATTCGGGGATTAAAAGGGATCACAAGGGATTCAAGCAACTAAGAGGAAGATCAAGATATTGGGGGTACAAGGTAGAAACCAAATGTCACTCCCAGCCGCCGAAAAACCTTTTCGCTAGCAAAAAAGAGAAATAGCAATAGCCCAGCTGCTTTTCTAAAATATTAAATTACGAAGTAAGGAAAGTAGTTTTTGAGTTTGTACAGAAACAAATTACATCAAATATTTGGTCAAATTTGGATATATGCTTCTTAATTTTTGATATCCGTTCAACCCCATGCAAACGTTTTTGATCCCTACAAATCGTCTTTTATCCTAATTTAAGAGTTAAGAAAAATATCTGTTGTTTTGGAGGGAAACGGGAAAAATGCAAAACACAGGCGAATCAAATGTCTATCATTTTCTTGCAACCTTTTCAACCAAGAATCACAGAATAACAACAAGTGCCATATCGTTTTTGTGTTATAAAATTTCCGGGCATATTGATATCGTGGATATTTAGGGATTTGGAGTGAATAATAGGACTTATAGAGAAAACAAAAGATAACGAAGGATATCAGGGGATTCTTCCTAACATAGCCATAAAGCCTTCTTGATCTTATTAAACTATAAAGGCAGAGTAAAACTATCAAGGCAGAAAAAACAACCAAGACAGCAAGCATATTAAATGTCTTGATCAAAGAAAAAAGGGATGGATAAAATAAAATTAGACAATAAAATCCACAAATCCAAACAACTAGAGAGGCGAATTTTGGATAAAAAAATTCAATAGTACAAATGATAGCTCATTTAAAAGAGCTCGACGGGTTGAGTTAAATGACATCAAAATCAGCACGATAAGATGATTCTGAACAAAATTATGAACAACTTAACATTCCTTTAATAAAAGTTTTTGTGCCGCTACTGAGGGTAGGTCGGCATTCAAAGCTGAGAATAGGTAAAAAGAAATAGGATTAAGTTACGAGCCCAGAACCCAGCGACCGTAGACTCCCTGCGAGGCGCGTGCCGCAAAACCCTGCGCGAAGCGCGGGGTTTTGCACAAGCGCCTCGCCGACGCCCATAAGTACACGTTGACGGTTCTACTTGACTTTATGAGTCCAATCGAACTTTATGAGTCCAAACGAAGTTTATGAGTCCAATCGAACTTTATGAGTCCAATCAAAATTTATGAGTCCAAACAAAAGTTTATAAATCCGACATGTCTTATTATTCTAAGTAAAAATTGTGGCTCTACTACAGTTTATGATTCCAATCACAACTTATGAGTCCAATCAGATTTTTGTGCTCTACGAGGGTAGGTCGTCAGATCAAAGCTGGTGATGAAAAAGGGATAGGTTTATGTTGCCGACCCAGAACCCAGCGACCGTTGACTCCCGCGAGGCGCGTGCCGCAAAACCCCGCGCGAAGCGCGGGGTTTTGCACAAGCGCCTCGCCTATGCTCCATACGTCTAACAACATAACCCTATTCATTTTTAATGTATTATTTAATAAATGTATTATTTAATAAAATCTAATAAAATGTGATTGGACTCATAAAATTCCTATGGACTCATAAAGTTTTGTTTGGACTCATAAAGTTCGATTGGACTCATAAACTTCGATTGGACTCATAAAGTTCGATTGGACTCATAAAGTCAAGTAGAACCACGTTGACCATTTTGAGCCTCTTTATCTTGGCTCAGAATTAAGATCTCGAGCTGATTTTGGTGTCATTCGATACAGCTCGAGGATCTCTTACGAATGAGCTATCATTCAAAAAAACGAATTTTTCACCCCAAAATTGTGCTTATCCCCACTATGGTTTTCCGATTTTCGGAGACCTATATCTCGGTCCACAGGCATCACCGGAAAAAAGTCGTTCGTCTTTGCACGCTGAGACGAAAAGAATGGTATGGGTCTTATATCGAATCCTTTCCACCGGTATACTATACTATATCCAAATTAGTGAAACCTCCTCCCCTCAAAACCCCTAGGTTCTCAAAATACATTATTTACACGCGAACCCCTTTTAAACATAAGATAAGCTCTAAACAGAGCAATAAAATCGTTTGTTCTTTTCACGCACTTTGCAGCAAATAAATTACAACTTTGAAAACTTATAAAGAGCGGTAAGGGGCCGCGCAGCGGCCCCTTACCGCTCGTTAAATAATAAATTAGCATTTAATAATGTCCCGAAAAATAAAATAAAATGTGAACATTGCAGAAACAATAAAATTTTCTGTGCCAAAAAATCTGATGAAGAATACAAAAAATGTGAAGGATTGGTAGAAGAAAAACAAGATTTTGTATCGAAAAAAGAATTAATTAAAAATCGAAATAATTTAGAAAATAAAATAAATTTTTTGGTTGAAAGACAGTTAAAGGGGAAAACTAAACGTAGACGTGTTCAAAAAATGCTAATTTTGCCTTTTGATGAATTGAAGAAAAATAAAGAAATTTTTGAAAATAGAGAGATGGGGGAAATGATTAAAAGAGAAAATAATTTGAAAATGGTGGCAAATATGATTAAAAATGGAAATTTAAATATTGATGAAAAACTCGAAGATAAAGAAGTTTGTGATAGAAATTTTCAGGTTTTAGAGGTTATTGTGGAAATAAATGTTTCTGTAGTCCATGGAATGGAAAAAAATGACAAGTATCAATCGTGTTCTAATTGTAGAAGGTTCTATGTATGATTTAGGGTTGGGCCCAGAAGGCCCGGAGGCGGTTGTGTCGGGGAACGGGGTCGGGGCGCAACTCTAGTATGATTAAACAAACTCAAAAAATTGTTGATCATTTGGTGTGAGGTTTTTAATAAAATGAATGTGAATAGAATAGAGGAACTCCAGCTAAAGCCAATACCAGATTAAACTTGAATGTGACAACATACATAGAGCTAATATGCTCCTAAAGTTTTGAAACCGTTAGAAAGTTACAATGATTTTAAGGAATGTCAATTTGTATCATTTTACTCATTCGTATTTATTTTCTAATACAAACACAAAAGTGTAGATAAATTAGTAGAAAAGTGTAACAATTAAAATATTGTAAATTACAGATTATAACTGATCTAAAAGAAGCAGCCAAACTAAAGATAGTGCTTGATGAATGTGACCGGATAAACGAATTTTTAATGGCATTATGTCTTGCAGAAGAGCAAATGAACTTTTATAGAGATTGGGTATCTGAACATTGTTCGGTAGAAATTCAACACGTTTTATATTCCATTTTTGATGTTGAAAGTGTAGAAGAATTAAAACACCTTGATATTATTGTAAAGGATGAAAAAGATACTTTAAATTCTTCAGAGAGTTTTCTTTTAAAGTATTATTCGGGTAGTCAGAAGGAGGTAGATGAAATTTTAGAATGAATTAATCAGGCTTCTAATGGTAGGGAAAATAATTTTTAAATTTAAATAAAAATATTTTTTTAAGTTATTTACAAGGCAGCTGGGATAGTAAAGAGATTTATTGTTGATAATCAACTTTATGAAGAGAGGAAAAAGAGAAAGATATTTAAGGTAGAAAATAAAAAGGAGGAGGAAGGAAAGCTGAACATGAATGAGGCTGAAATGTTGTGGAATGAGGAACTGGAAGAATCGAGAAAGAAAAACAAGGTTGACGATATTGCGAAGGAAGAGCTAAAAAATGAAGAGAAAAATGAGTTGGATGATGTAATGAAGGAAGAATTAAAGGAAAAGATGATGGAGATGAAAATAAAAGATTATTAAAAGAAGAAAAGGAGGAATAATTAAAGAAAAAGAAAAATAAATTTAATCACTGTTGATTCGATTATTAATATTTTTTAAATTAATTAAATTAGTAGCTGAATATTAAAAGAAATAAAATATAAATATTTTTAAAGTATGTATTATAAATAGGGCTCGGATTTATATTGAAATAAGGCACAAAAACGACCTTGGTCATGAAAAAGCCTTGACTGTCCGGTGTCTGACTATTGAGTTCTAATAGAAGAAACGGAGCAGTTCAACTGAGTCCGCACGATTGAGTCCCCACGATTGAGTCCGCACGATTGAGTCCCCACGATTGAGTCCCGGCACAATTGAGTCCCCACGATTGAGTCCGCACGATTGAGTCCCCGTTGTATATCGGTACACCTCAATTGAGTCCGCACGATTGAGTCCCCACGATTGAGTCCGCACGATTGAGTCCCCACGATTGAGTCCCGGCACAATTGAGTCCCCACGATTGAGTCCGCACGATTGAGTCCCCGTTGTATATACCTCAATTGAGTCCCCTAGATTTAATTATATTAAAAAAGATTAAGAGGGATATTTGGGGATTTGGAGGGATTAATGTTAATATCAGGGGACTTGTAACCGACATCGAGGTATCAAGATGGATATTGGTGAATATCAAGGGATATAAGTAGATTTAAGCGGGGATATCGGTTGAATTAAGGCAGATATCAACAAATTCGGAGAGATTAAGATGGATATTGTGGGTTTGGGGATTAGGAGGGATATCGAGAGATTTTTTGAATGACAGCTCATTCGAAAGTAGTGAGTCGAATGACACCAAAATCAACATTGTTGAACAAGTTCTCGCCGAGATATGGGGCTCGAAATGGTGGATTTTTTGGTGGAATTCCATGGGGAATTTTTGTTGCGAAACATTCGAATAAACAAAAAATAGCTCATTCGAAAGGGATCGACGAGATGAGTTGAATAAGAATAAGACCAAAATCAAGTTGATTGAATGATTCTGAACAAATTTTGACCAACAGAATCTTCGCTGGAAAAACTTTTTGTGCTGCTATGGAGGGTAGGGGAAACTATCTAAATTACGAACGTAAAAACTCCTTCCTAATTTCCGGACTCCGGCAGAATTTACCTGGATACGGGAGAAAATCAAAATGTGAAAAAAAAATAAAAAAATATTTTTTAAAAATTTTATCAAAAAAATTAAAAAAAACCAAAGTCTAGCTTCAATTATTGTGCCAAAGAAGGGCCTTTCTTTCGTTTTTTGTTCTCCTAAGTTCACCACCTTCGTTCCTTCAGAAACTGTGAACTTGAAAATCGCCAGTCAGAAACTGATGAAAATCAACTAAAAAATTTTAAAAATAAAAACGAAAAACAAAATAAAAATTCCAAACCTTTTCAAATTTCCCATCGTTGCAGCCGTGGGATTAAGTCCGACACGTGAGGAGCAAAGTTAGACCAACCTGAAATATAAAATCTAAAATTAAAAAATAAAAATTAAACTTTTACCTACACAAGATTCTCGTCCTCCCTCTCGTCCTCATTGAGAAAATTCAGTGCTCGGATGGACTTGAGTGGATGGTCGGTCAACTAATTAACAAAATTAGTTGCAAACCCCAAAAGAAAAACAAAAAAATAAAAAAAAAACAATAAAAAAATCTAAGAAAATAAAAATTCCTACCGGGAATTTTTAACGGGGACTCAATTGAGGTATATACAACGACAGAAATGCCAGGTGATAGATGTAATAAAAAAATGGAGAGACAGTGGTCAGTTCGCGGGCATGGCCGCTTCAGTGATTTATTTAAATATAAATCCGAGCCCTAATTATAAACATTAAGCTTAATAACTAAACAAAAAAATTTTTAACATCGATCTAATTAAAAACATAATAAAACTGAGGTCAAATAAAATAATGCTTATTTTTACTACAGATTTATAAAGTTTTGTTTTGTGTCCCAAGTTTGTGTTCCGCTTGGCGGCATTGTATCCAATGAAGCACAAGGATGGGGCTGAAAAAAAATAATGAAAAATAAGCTTGAGATTTATTTCTTAATTAATTTACGTTTTTAGTTTCGTGAGAACGATTTTAAACTTCCAGTATTATCAAAAATTTTTAATGAAAAATTTAAAAAATTTCAACGAAATTTGGCTTTTTGAGCTCCGAAATTCTCAAAATTATCAAAAATTTGAAAATTAAACCCAAGGAGCTAGATTCCATTTTTTCTTGTGCTAACTTTTAATGGCGAATAAATGTTACTATTTACTATTCATCGAGATAATTAATTAATAAATTTTCGTAATAAACAAAAGCTTATTTATTAACAAAATTTAATACAAAAAAATTTTTTTATTAAGTGTAATGGCTAGAGACCGGATATTTATGCATTAAAAAATCCAAAATATGCACTATAATATGCATAAAAAATTGACAAAATATGCACAAAATTATGCAAATAAACCAAAATATTCACGAAATTATGCAGCAAAAATACAATTTTTACCTAGAATTTTTAATTTTTTTGAATCAAAAACATTAAAACACCTATTTTTATTAAGATTACTCTCATTTTAAATGTATAGTCCCACAAATTGAGTATTTTTAATCTATTGGACATTTTGGGATGAGACGTTTTGGTGGTGGGACATTTTGGAGTGATACATTTTTGGGTCTTGCCCAAGAACAAAAAAAATTTTTTTTACAAAATTTGTATTTTTTACAAATTTTTTCCTAAATTTTTACTAAATTTTCAATTTTTGGCAGGATTTTGGGCAATTTTCGAGTTATTTTCCCCAAAAGCCTCAAAATATGCAGTAAAATATGCATTTATGCAGCAAAGTCCGGAATATGCAAAAATATGCATTATATGCAAATAGAAACCCCCTCTAGTTTTTTCAAAACATGCGGAAACAGTGTTTTTTGTGCATTATACATCATGACAACCATGCAAAAAAAATATGCATTTGCATAAAAATCCGGTCTCTAGTAATGACATATAAACGGAATATATAAAAATACAAAAAATATTGTTAAATTCGGAATTAAATTTTAAATAAATTTTAATATTTTAATTTATAGATATTAATTCAGCCTCAACATCCTTTTCTAGGTTCTTCACCTGAAAATATTTAAATTTGCTTTAATTATGTACTAAAAGGAGGTAGAAGACTCTTTGTCTAATCCTGAAGCTCAAAAAATTTTCCTAAAATTTATCGGTCCTTTTCGACTAAGTCTTGGGAAATTTTCAGTCTCAGACATTTTAGAAACTATATTCTTACTTGAATATATTGTGTTAACGTTACAGGTATATCCAACTCAACCTCTCCTTCAATAACATCGTCTTTTGTTTCTAAAATGTACAAAAGCTTCAAGGAGGTCGGAAAAGTTAAAGTTAATTCTATCCTTTTTCCATCCATCAATTCTTGATGATCAGAGTATATATAAGTATGTTTCTTTTCCAATTTTATCCAACGCCCATTCTAAATATTATGAATTCGAATTAATCAAAAATTTAATCTACCGTATATGAATCTACGCATATTGAATTATTTGTAATATTCAATTGAAAGATTGTGTTGCCTACTAAATAAAATACGAAATTAAGGACTTTCTGAAGGGTTCGAATTTTTATTTTTAATAAATACGATTGGGGAACTGAAACCCCTTAGTTTTTGTTTATCTTAACCAAATAGTTCGGCTCAAGTTAACCAAAAAATTAGATAAAACCGACAACTATAAATCTGAGTATTATTTTAATTCCATCTAACATTATCTGTTTAACTTGTATATACATAAAGTATTTATAAAGTATTTCCGGTATATATATATAATATATAAAGTATTTTTTTCATATCATAAAGTACTTCCGGTAATAAAGCTTAAAATATAAAATCAAACATGTATAGTTCCATTCAAGGGCTGCATGAAGAAAATTTACGTTGATAGTTTTATTAAAAGGGTTTGGTATATTTCCTCTAATTAAGACTTCGCTTGTACTATTTAAACGTTTTTCTACTTTTCGGGTTTTGTTATCCAATTTAAATTCGATGAGCTTGGATGTTAGCCTTTCACATTTTTCAGAATAGTCGTCAAATAAAACTTTATTTTCTAAGCCCGTTATCTAGAAATTTTTTTTATTAATTATTAATGAGTGGAAAAATATGCAAAAATATGCTATAGAAACCGGGTCCCTAATAGTGATGTTCGGGAGAAGAAAAAACTCGGGAATCGGGAAACGGGAGTCGGGTCGGGAAATGACCTCGGGAGTCGGGATCGGGAGTCGGGAATTTACAACAAAAAATTTTTCCGCCTTCGGCGACAAAAATACCAATTTTTTGCTATGCAGGCGAAAATTTTGAGAATTTTGGAAAGTCAGGAAGCCAGACATCTAACCTCCTGGATACGCCATCGATGTTATGATCACTCTTAACAATCTAAAATCCTTTGTCCGCGCCGCAGGCGAAAATTTTCTTAAGTCGAAGGCTAAGAACCAGACTTCGTCCTTTATTTTTGAGAATTTCTAAGGTCGTAGGATGGTATAGAAAAAAAACTTTAGTCCCGTCAATCGTTTACTCTCTTCATGACCTCTGTTATACTCATTACAACCTTTATCCCTTCATATCCACCTTAATCTCAAGGAGTTCTATGA